GCCTCATAGCTGGTTGCGTTTCATTGACGATATAGAGATGAAGTGGGTGGATTGTCGCGAGAACCTCGAGGCATTCATTACGTTTGCCAACACCTTTCATCAGTCGATCAAATTTACAGTAGACGTATCTAATTCGAAAAACGTATTCCTAGATACTACATCTACCCTGATTGATGGTGAAATCGAATTCAGTCTCCACACCAAACCCACAGACTCCCACCTATATCTTATGCCCACTAGCTGTCATCCCCCACACACTTTTAAGGGAGTGCCTAAGGGTCTAGCCACCAGAATTCGACGCATCTGTTCGTCCCCTGCCTTATATCAGGAGCAAAGTGATCTTCTTAAGTCCCACTTATGCAAAAGAGGCTACAATGCCCGCACCATACAAACAGCTATTGATGAGATGGCGGAACATGACAGACAAAACCTATTACGCTACAAGGAAAAAGACAATAGCGACAGGGTCCCTCTGGTAACCACATACCATCCCGTCCTTAAGAACCTTAGCGGTATCCTTCAAAAGAACCTACCAATTCTCCATTCAAACAAACGAATGGCAGAGGTCTTTAAGGAACCCCCATTGGCTGCATACAGACGCCCAAGTAATCTAAAGGACATGGTAATAAGATCCAGACTGGACAACCCATTTCCTAACGGGGGCTTTAAAACTTGCTCTGACAGGAGATGTCTTCTTTGTAAGCACAGCACTGGCACAGACAGTTTTAACAGCCCTGTTACAGGTCGCAGCTACAAAATACTAGGGAATTTGTCCTGTCATACTGACAACTGCATTTATCTCATCACTTGCAAAGTTTGCTCCAAACAGTATGTTGGTGAAACAGGAGATCTCCGTAGGAGAGTCAATAACCACCGTTCGACCATTAGGACCAAAAAACTCAATGAACCCGTTGGGGAACATTTCAACCTTGAGGGTCACAAATGGGAGGACATGACAGTAGTGGTGATTGACCATAACCCAAGATGGACAGATGCTCAGAGGAAAAGCAAAGAAAAGTTCTGGATGCACAGATTGAAGTCATTCCGCCCAAATGGTATTAACAAGTTGAATGACTTCACCAGAATGAACGTATATTAGACCCAATTCCTGATCATACTAAACAAAATTATTCTCTCAATTTAGTGTAAACTCTACAGTTAATTTGTGCCACCAACTCTCGAACTCGAACAACCACATAACTAAGTATTGCTTACGCCTTCGTTAATTATTTTTTCCCGATAATAAGTCCTTAAATATTTCAAAATTTATTAGTGATCACAATTCATATGTTTAAATATTCCTACTATATGATTTTTCTTTCATTATTCTTTATTAAGTAAAGTTACGCCATTTTGAGAGAATGAAATAACGTACGATTTACTGATTGTCGTAATTAATTAGCATAATTAATTCGTTCAATTATGTAAATCGCACTTCACCCGAGTATACCCGATAGACCGGACGCATTTCATAGCGGTCCGAATTTCTTTCTTTATTAGTGTTCTTTAAATTTTCCAACTCAACATGTAATTAAGTATGTAAATATCTAGTGTTTAGTAGTTTAGTAGTAGTGCTAGTTGTTTTTGTTTCTCTTTTTCCTTTGTTCTTATGACTTTTTAACTTTTTTCTTTGTCCTGAGGAAGGGACAGGGCGTCCCGAAAATTTGACAATTTTTATTGTTCGTGTCGTTGGTCATTTTTAGTGCTTTATATAAATTTCCATCCGTGACCTTGTATCTACTTGATAGATCCGACATTTAGGATATACAGTGTTGATGGTTTTTTAGTGCTTTATATATATATATATATATATATATATATGCATTTAAAGTAAAATTTAACTGTAAATCAAGTCACATTGATTTTACAGCGCGCTTCGTTAAATGATAGGGAAAATATTACCCTGTGTACATATGTACAAATTTTGCACGTCATATCAATTGAATTCATTCACAGATTAATTTAATATGGGTGTTTTACTCATGCCGCCCACTAAATACTAGTATTGGGCATTTAACATTCAGGAAGTGACATGTCCAACCAGTTTATGTCATTCCTGTTACCAAAAAGAAAATATTAAAATAAAAATTATCTCACTTTCCTTTAGGAACTGTTTTCACGATCCTCAATATATCATCATTTTCTGTTGTCTCAAGTTTATGAGCGCCATGATTTGAAAGTGAATAAAGAAAAGGTTCAAAAGTCGATAAGTTTGTCTTATTGGTAGTGCATAATGAAAATATTTCCTATCTGTTACCTTCATAATATGCAAGTACTCTTTAAATTGTTTATTCTGCTAGAACAATTAGATGAACTAAGTTACAAAGAAATGCATGGTTTCAATGTCTCGATGATGCACAAAGAATACAATATACTAAATAACAGGTGATTTATATCAGAAACGTCCATCCTGTTACCAATAACATGGTAACAGTAAGGAAAACTGGACTTCATATCTTGAGTTTTAACAATAAAAACAATTAATTTTATTTTTCTAAGTAATATAAGTTTAATTACACATGTTAAAAAACTTCGTAAATCATATTGAAATATGTCTGTGCTTCAAATACATGTAGTGCCATTATGACTTAAACATCACTCTTGTAACAGAATGGACAAAAATTGTAACAGGAGGGACATTATCCTGATATTCATATACCTATTTTAGTTGTATCATTTGTTTTACCTATAATTATGAAAATTTCTTAGTTTTGCAACAGCATGGAGTACCTTTAATGGATAAAAAAAAATGAAGTGATATATATTTTAATAGCACTTTCCAATTAAATTTCGTAACAGGATGGACATAAAGGTCTTTAAAAGTCACGAATTTGCCAGATTTAACAATATCATGTTTTTATTCTACATATCTTTCTCTTTTCTTAACCAGTAAAGTTATAAGAAGTCTAATTTTTGTTTTAATTCTAGATTTCGTTGTCCATCCCGTTACACTGTTAATTTGTCCATGCTGTTACTGTTTTGTCCTTCCTGTTACCCGAGTCCTTACTGTTACCAGTATGTTTTCCTAGTTTAGATTGCTTTGGCAGAACACCTGTTTAATTAACTTTCTGTACTTGTTTATTCTCATTACCAAAATAATGTACAAGTATGTTATTTTTTCAACGATAGTACATAAACATTTCGCAATAAGGTTTTTCATGAAGAGATTTTGCTTCTGCTTGGTATATGGTACTTTGACATGCTTTTAAACGGTCATATATTAGATAAATGTAAAGCATCTTGGCATTCAGTGATATTTTTAAAATTTTTATAACAATATACAAAAGATTATTTGATGAACATTTTGAAATAGAGTTTTGCAGCTCTTTTTATGAAAGTAACAGGAAGGAGATTAAAGTTTACATGACTAAGATATAATGTCAATATTTGTTTTAAAGAAATATTTTCTTTTTTGCAATGCGATAAATTTTAGTAGTTTAATACTGTGTTATTCAAATAGAGTTGAAAAAATCATAGTCAGACCACTTTTATTTTTCAAAAATATGTCATTCAAAAAATGGATTTTTTTGAAAATGACCCATACCAAGGACCCTGTGGTATTCATCGACTAATTAAGAATCAAACACATTTGTGCGGTCACACTCTACATCTTATGTATAGCGCTCCGAGGAAGATTATTTCTGCATATAATCCAGCGTTAAGGAATCTCTAAACACTGCACACTAAAGAGATGTTCATAGGGTAGTTTTATGCAGTTAGAGTGATCTGTTCTTAGAGGCAAAATAGAAATAAAAATGGTTATTTACAGTTAATTACACAATCTTTAATAGATTAAAATGTTCTGAATTAGCATTATATTAGACTAAGAATTCGTAAATGAATTCATTTTTTCCACTTATTTTCTTTATAGAAGTAACCATCAGTGATTTCTGCTTACGAATAGTCTTTTGTCTTTGGACATTTTTCTTGCGGAAATAAGGCTGGTACCCTATGTTGAAAATAAACTAAATAGTCCCAATATGCATACCTTTTTATGATATACTCATACTGTATTTTTTCTAAGTCCAAAAAGCACTTTTTATTGGTGTTTAGAGCTTCCTTAATTAATCCATTTTTCTTTTATAATTTGGATTCTATCATCATTTTTGATAAATGACATTTATGGAATCACAAAAACTGTTTTGTTGTTGTTTTGGCACAAAAACTAGCTTAACTGAGGGCAGTTTTTTGGATTGGAAGAAGCTTCGCTTAAAAGTTATCTTTCCAGGGCAGCAACGATAGTTGGAAACATGGGATAATTTGCATAATGGGCGAAGTCCATTATATTATGCATATATAAGAACAAGTGATTGGCAATTGTGGCCCCACCTTACCCCTGGGGCTCATGATTTGAACAAACCTGAATCTACACTACCTGAGGATGCTTCCGCATGAGTTTCATCTTTCCTGGCCCAATGGTTCTGGAGAAGAAGATTTTTAAAAAGATGCCATTAATTTTTCATTTATTCATAATTATCTCCCCTTGGAAGAGGCCTTGGCCCTTCATTTGAACAAACTTGAATCACCTTTACCCAAGGATACTTTGTAGCAAGTTTGGTTGAAATTGGCCCAGTGGTTCTTGAGAAGAAGATGAAAATGTGAAAAGTTTACGACGACGATGACAGACAACAGACAAATTTTGATCAAAAAAGCTCACTTGAGCCTTCGGCTCAGGTGAGCTAAAAATTGTTTACAACAGCTAGACAGACACCTTACTATCACATGAGCTCTTACGGTCTCTGACATATAGTGGTAAAAAAGGAGATAGGATCCAAGCTGTGCAATCAGTTAGCATTAGAGGGCATCTGAAGAAGGCATCAAGACAGCATGAGGGCTCAAGCAGTTGAAGATTACTCCATATATGTTTAGACTCCTATGAAGTATACATGCTTATAGACACCCCCTCTCCCCACCACATTTTTTATTCGTCTTTTTTCATAAATTGATTCTCTAATACATGTTTACAATGTATTCCATATGAACAAATTTGAAAAATAACGTAGATTTAACATTTTATAAAAAATCATACCAGAGGTATCTATAAAAACTTAACATTTTACACATTTTACATTATAAATAGAGCAAATTCTTACAAAATCATGCAAGTGTTCGTATTAAACAACTTGTACTAAAATATTCATCCACTGCCTTGTATATGAACAAGGTGAATACATGTACATGTTTGTACATGTTACCACATCACTATCAAACATTGTTCTTTTTGATGCAGGAACAAAGTTTTGAGCGGCGTGAGGGATTTTTCTTTTTATCAGTTTTATTATCTGTTGAATCCTCTTCTATATCATCAGTTTTATCTGTTTCATTGTCACAGTTTTTCTTCTTCCCCTTGAAGTCTGTGAATATTAACTTTGATATTTCATCCATTCTGTTTTTAGATCTCCATACCTTCAAGAGTTTATCATCTCCTGCAGTGACCAGTGTTTCCTGGTCCTGGGGGTGGAATGTCACGGCATTCAGTCCATAAGTCTGTCCGTTAGAGTCTTGGTGAATGATGTTGGACTGTATCTCCGATCCATAATGATGGTCCCACAAATGGCCCTGAACAGTCTCATCACCTCTGTAAGGAAAACAAGGCAGGACTGTGCAGTTCTAAATTTTTTTGGGTAACAATACTATAGCTTTGAATTTTTCCTGGTTTTAAATCAAAACATATGAAAATAAAAATGAATTCTTTCTTCCCTTTTATCAAAAATACTTTTTCAGTTCTAGGGTCATCTTTAAAATAATGTTGGTTTGCTCTCTCCCATATGGTGAAATAGTCATCAAACTATAAACTGGCAGCATTCTTTTTCCCTTGCATTTCATTTCAGAACTCTTGGTTTAATCCAGATTGTGATGTAACATAAGTAAAGTCAGCTTCGGTAAAATGACACACATAATTACTGACTATTCAGACAATAGCACGTTTACTGACCCCCTCGATAGCAACTATTTCCATCAGCTTGGCCTCCAGAAATAGTTGCTGTTTTGGGGGAAGACAAACTTGGTATTGTCCTCATAGCCAGTAAATAGTGTATATCATTATGTGATAAACACTTAGCATAGTAAAATTATACTTACATAGCCACAAAATCTTGACTAAGATCAGGAAAGATGTAACTAAGGTGATCATCAGAGGAACAGGTACCCCCCACAAACACTGTGTTCCAACACTGGTCTAAAATTACGTCATAAACAACGGTCAAAATTTCCAGCTCATACCCCCAGAAATGTTCCATCTCCTTCATATTACGAAAGCTGTACACAATATACCTAAAACAATCAAAAACATAAAATATTAAGGAGAGGTATTACATGTACATATTCATATTAGCAAGCTCAAAAAATTATATCCCTCCATGTCTCCATTTCAGGTATTAGGAATCTGAAAGCTTCAAAATTAAGAATATTTTGTTGTGGAAATAGTATAAGAATACAATTTTACTAGAAACACAGGGTTAGTAATATTTTGAGATGGCAATTTGAAAAATATGGAGAAATAAGTCCTGAAACAGTGCACTTTTTTGTGCATAATAAATATCTAAACTTCTTGGCATTGTACCTCTCCAGTCTGTCAATAAATATATATTCTTATTCAGAGAGCTACAGTTCTCCCTTACTCAGAATTATTTTACTTGGCTTTTCCTTGGGAAATAGATCTGATATCAGGGAGCCATGGTAACTACCTGAATAATATATATGAATCTATGTATACTTAAAACTTCAATATACCTGTGATCCAAGCTGGTTCTGAGGCCAAGAATTCCAGCATCCATTTTTAGTTTTTTAAATGGTTTTGCAGAAGTTGCCTCCCCTTCCTTTACAGCATAGAAAGTAATAGAACACCTATCAATGTCGTGTCGTGAGCTGTGTACGAGCTGGATGATCTTCCCTCCCGTGCCTTGTATCCCTCTAAGAACCTCGCAGTAAGGTCGAGATTCTTCCTCTTTTGTCCTCTGATCTTTAGCATTTTCTTTCTGACCCTGAGAATCTTTAGCCCTTCCTCTGGCATCCTGAACCATTTTGTAATAGACCGCAAAATCATCCATATCGTCTAACACAGAATCATCATCCATGCTATCATCACTACTTAAATCTTCATCACTGAGATAATTATTTCTGGGGTTAAGATTAAATTCCTTCTCATCATCTAGTTCATCCCCATCTACTTCAATATCAGATACATTGTCCCCACTGTTGGCTGGTTCACACTTTGTTTGGTCTTGCAGACAGTCAGATGAGCCTGATTTGACTTCCTCATCATGTTCATTTGTGAAGTCATAATATTGACTTAAATCTCCCCACCTCCTGGGGTCCACCACTCGGATGAAGTCGTTCCTTGACCTATAATTACGTGCCACCAGAACTGTCTTTGCCTTACTTTTACACTTCACAAACAGTTCCTCTATTCTCTTGCCTTTCTTTTTAACTGTTGAATTGACCTAAAATAAATAAATAAACTCACAAAAAATAAGCCTGTAAAAGATGCATATAAAAATATATATATCAGTTGAAAAAGTTAACAGTAGCATTGAACTTTAACTTCACTGAAAGACCCTGAATATGATCTTCAAAACCATGATCTTCTCAAACAGATAACAAATCTTTACCACATGAGGTAAACAAGAGGCTCATGAGCCACATCGCTCACCTGTAGAAACTATGTGCATGCTGTTCTTAACCAGATTTCTCCCCTTGTATTACCTTCTTGGTGCCCAACCTACAACCAAGGGTCATGATTTTCACAATTTAGAATCAGAACTACCCCAGGATGCTTCCAAATAAGTTTCAGCTTTTCTGGCCCAATGGTTCTTGCGGAGAAGATTTTTTAAAGATTTTTCCAATATATTTTAATGTAAAACCAGGATTCCCTATTGTGGCCGCACCCTACTTCCAGGGATCATGACTTTTATAATTTAGAATCTGCATTTTTTTTTTTTTTTTTTTTTTTTTTTTTTTTTTAATTTCCACAATACAACTTTCAAATAGTATTATATTTACAAAATCATTGTGGATTTTTATTAAACATTCACTCACTGATTCTTCCACCTCACTCATCCATTTCAGTATCACCTATTTATGAATTGTACAAAAAGATGATTCAATATACATATACATATATATGCATGTTTATATATTACACTGTGTTTACTATCACTATAAGTATACTTATAAAAAAGAAAGAAAAAATACAAACAAACAAAAGTAAAAGTTACAGTGTCCTTTTATGAATATCATATAAATCTAATCATTTATCAAATAGATTGTCTAACAATTGCCATCTCTTTTTAAACTGGGTGTCTTCCATATTTAATGCAAACAAGTATTTTTCAAAATTATAGTATTTATATATCATTTAATTTCCATAAAATACTTGATTCTGATTGGATAAAAAATTCTTTTGATAACTGCATCAACAAAATCTAGAGTTCGCTTGCACTAAGCAGCCGGAACTACTTTGACAGTCGTTACATGTATATTCCCGCTTCCAGATTACTTTTTGAAGGAATGATTAATACTTTTGCTTTAATAAATTATTTTCCTGAATTTCGGAACCTGTCCGTTACGTTCCTGACTTACTTTCTACTTTCGTTTTTTTTTCATTTTGAATTATTCCCCTTTGCTAAACAAATGAAATCGTCTGCATGACGACAATACAGTTACGGGAAAGAAGGGAAGAAATCGTTTAATCGACATACTTTGCTTAAATGTTTGACTTTGAGATGTCTGGTATGAAACAATAGAACTCTGAAAAAAATGTTTTATTATGTTACCAAAGCGGGGAAAACCGTAAATCTGTTAAATCATGATCATGGGAAACGAATGATCGAGGACACTATGAATATTGAGGACGGAATTCTTTAGTCTTGAACTACCGGCGGCAGACTCTTTCAGGTTTTACAACATTGACATGTTGTGATATACTGGTATATTCAGTTTGAAATTCAGATGAAAAGATGCGCAAATGAAATCCACAGTTTCTGTGACCTAGAACTGTTAGGATATTTGAGTAGCTTCCCTTTACATTTACGAACTTAGATAACTTACCGGAGAAAATATACCCAGAGGGATAACACAACAGGTAGGTTTTTTGTGTTAAAGAACTGTAAATTATTTCGGAGACTGTTGGTAATCACACGACAATATTTGAGAACGTTTTTCGTTGGCATGGTTAGAGCCATTTTGAATTTTCAGCAACGTTAACGTTATGGCGATGTATTCGTGCGCACTGTTTTTGATGCATAAATTTAATTAGAAATATGAAAGAATCCTTCATTTTATCAATTTAAAATCATAATTAAATGATAAGAAATGAATGTAATATTTTTTTCTTTGATCGATGTATCAAAGAAAAATTTGGACGGAAAACTTTTTCATCAATGCGCTACGCGCATTGATGAAGTTTTCCGTCCAAATTTTTCTTTGATACATCGATCAAAGAAAAAAATATTACATTCATTTCTTAAATTACATTTTTTACTTCGTTAAATATCAAAGGTTTACAGTTTCTAGATTTTTGGTATATATACTGTTTTACAAGCAATATAATGACATTTAAAGATGTGTTTTCTTTGCCAGAAATACCTAATATAACAGAAATTGGGTCTAAGTAAATATTTTTTCCAGTTTTCTGTAAAATCCATTCTTCTAAACAATCCCATATTCCCTTAACAGGAAGACAGTAATAAAAAAGATGCTTCAAAGTTTCCTGCTCAAGATTACAGACAGAGCACAATGGATTATCTTTAATTTTAGATAAAAACAACAATTTACAGGTTCCAAGAATTCTATGTATGATCTTATAATTAAACCATTTGAGATTTGAATCTTTACTTATGTATTTCAAGTTTGTAAAAAGATCTCTCCAATTAAAGTCATTCTGCAAACCTAAATCTCTTGTCCATTTTGTAATACATACAGGTTGGTTATAACGCTTAGATAAAAAGAAATTGTATCATGATTTACACCCGGAATCATCACGACAAAGGACCTGAATATGTGTAGGAATGTACATTCCAATAGCTGATGTTCTACGTTGTTTAACTTCAGGCCATTTTTTCAGAATGGAAAGTCTAAGCCCTTCATAATTAGTAAATGGAATTAAAACATCATAATTAATGGATATACAATTAAAGGATAACAAATTACCTTCGGTATCCAATAGATCAGACACAATATGAAAACCTTTTGCATATAACTGTTTGTAAAAAACAGATTTACTTTGTACTCTGATACTACTGTTAAACCATAAAGGTTCTTTCAAGACCTGAAGAATATTTTCAGGTTCAAATAAATGAATAAATTCATTATAGTCAGAAAGGACTTCTTTCCAAAACATGTTATTTGTTGTTTTACTAAAATATAAGGCATATTCTGATCCGAACTGTAAAAGTTTTGTAATATTACAGCCTGTAGATTCCATAAATATTCTAGACCAGGTAGAATCCGTATATATTAACCTCCTGATCCAAGTGAGCTTAAGTGCCTTAATAAATGTTGGCAAATGTGGCATTCTAAAGCCACCATCATCATGATCTAAAATCATTATATTTCGAGCTATTTTATCATTTTTATTGTTCCATACAAACTTAAAAAAAGATTTCTCAAGGTTTTTCATAGTTTCATCACATGGTTTTGGTAAAGTTAGCAATAAATGTGTAATTTTTGAAAGAAAAAGAGATTTTATAACTGTAATTTTACCCAGAGGTGTTATATGTCTTTTTTCCCAGTGGCTCATTTCTTTGTTTATATCATTAATTCTGTTAATAAAATTTATCTCTTCTATATTGTCAAGACTGGCATTAAATGTTATTCCCAATATTGTAAAGTTCTCAGATGTCCACTCTAAATTATATTCATTGCACAAATTGTCATTACAATTAATTTTTGAACCAATCCATATGGCTTTTGTCTTAGATAGATTAGGCTTTAAACCCGAAAATTTAGCAAACTGGAAAAGAAGATCTAGTGCACTCTTCAAACTTTTTTCAGACCCATCCAAAAATATAACTGTATCGTCTGCATATTGTAATAAGCAGACTGTTTCTTTACCAATTTTTATGCCCTTAATATTTTTATTTTGCCTTATAAGATGACCCATTATCTCTACACAAAGATTGAAAATATATGGTGAGACAGGGTCTCCTTGACGACACCCTCTGCCTATGCAAAAGAATCTGGAAAAAATACCATTCTGCAAGACACATAATGTGGCATTTTTATATAAAACTGAAATCCATCTAATAAAATCACGACCAAAGTTAAAATATTCAAAAGTCTTGTACATAAATCTCCAGGAAATAGTGTCAAAAGCTTTCTCAAAATCTATAAGTAACATCATCCCTGGGATTTGTTTTTCTCTTGAAGTATGTAGAACATCATAAATAAGTCGAGTATTTTCGCCTATGAATCTCCCTTTCAAAAACCCCTTTTAGTTCTCATGTATTAAATAATCTAAAACAGTTTTAAGTCTATTTCCAATGCATGCAGATATAATTTTGTAAGTAACATTAAGGAGAGAGATAGGTCTCCAATTTTTTAAATATTCCCTTGGCTTTTCACCTTTTGGTAGTATAGATAAAATTCCTTGTTTCTGTGTATTAGATAATTCTCCCTTTAAAAAACCAAAGTTTATAGATCGTATAAAATCACCAATATCCTTCCAGAAAAATTTAAAGAACTCTACGTTAAAGCCATCACTGCCTGGACTTTTATCATTTTTCATATTTTTCAATGCAAGTGATGCTTCTTCCTTGGTTATCAGACCCTCTAATTTGGAAGCTGATTCCTCATTTAAGATGTGAATGTTGTCCTTAATTAGTAAATTGTTTAAATTTATATCTAATAGAGTATTATCACAGGATGTGTATAGATTATGATAAAATTTTTCAATTTCTTTAAGAATTTCTTGTTGTGAAGTTATTGTTAAATCGTTTTCATTAATTAATTTTGTTACTGTTTTATTAATGTAATTTCTTTTTTCTAGACTCAAGAAATATTTTGTAGGTTTCTCACCATATTCTACCCATTTAGCTTTTGTTCTTACAAATAGACCATTTATATAATGCTTTCTAAGTTCTTCCAATTTAGATTTTGCTGTAGAAAGTTTTTCATCAGTATCTTTAGAATCGTTAAAATTTCTGATGATTTCTAATTTTTGTATTTCCTCTTCTAAAAGATTTACTTCTCGGTCTCTTTCCTTTTTCTTTCTAGAACAATACTTTATAGTGGTACCTCTAATCTCAAGTAGTAGCATTTCTAGGAATAATTGATCATCAATTATAAAATTAATTTCTGTGTTTTCTATATCCTTGATAATTACACGATTATATGGTGTAACTGCATACTGAAGTTTTATCTTATTTATTGTGTCTTTAACTAAACTTATATAGTTTTTATCTTTTAGGAGAGAGTTATTAAACTTCCAGAACCCTTTACCCATCTTAAACTCTGAAAATAAAATATGAAGTTCAATAATTGAGTGATCAGTTCTGTACCCAGACTTTATATCAACCTTATCTACAAAAGCCATTAGTTCATTTGATATCAGAAAGTAGTCAAGTCTGGCCTTTTTTACTGGATTGTTTTTAAACCAAGTGTATCTTTTAATATTATTATATTTAGTCCTCCAGGGGTCACACAAACCTTGGGTTTCTTTTAACTGAAGCAGGGTCTCTCTTGCTTTGGGGTTATTGATGTTGCGATAATTATAGCAATCTAGAGTAAAGTCTTGAATTAAATTAAAATCTCCTCCCATTAACACAAATTCACCCTGGAAATTCTCAATTTTATCTCTGATCAGACTATAAAAATCAGGCTGATCTGTATTAGGTCCATACAAATTTATTAATAAAAAATCATATTTTTTTGTTAAGTTAACTTCTAAAATAACCAGATTACCTGTTTCATCTATATATTTATTTGTTACCTTATATTCAATATTATTGTTAAAAAGTATTGCCGTTCCTCTGGCATCTGATCTACCAGGACTGATATATACATCAAATCCCCATAATGATCTAACAAGGTTTATGTCATTTTCAGTAAAGTGGGTATCTTGAAGAAAATATATAGAAAATTGTTTTTGTTTTAAATAATTGAGAACGTCTCTCCGTTTCTCTATTCCACCAAGCCCTCTACAATTGAGGGACAATACACTCAGACTCATTGATCGAAGATATTTACATGTATGTCAATGGACGACTGTACAGTGACAGCGCAGAACATGAAAAAAATATTTACGTATAAGTATTGAAATTTGGTGATACTGATTTGATAGGTAACACTCTCACAACTTACACACATACTTACACACCGAAAGAAACAAACAAAAAATGTCAAGTAAGTCCCGTTACAAACAGAATCTGCATTATCCCAGGATGCTTCCTCATAAGTTTCAGCTTTCCTGACCCAGTGGTTCTTGAGAAGATTTTAATGACCCCACCTTTTTTTGTCTTTTCTTGATTATCTTTCCTTGCAATGTGACTCAGCCCTTCATTTTAACAATTTAGACTCCCCTTCATCTAAGGATGCTTTATGCCAAGTTTGGTTAAAATTGGCCCAGTGGTTCTTGAGAAGAAGTTGAAAATGTGAAAAAGTCTACAAACAGATGGAGGGACAGCTAGCTAGACAGACAGATGGACAATGGACGACAGGTGATTACAAAGCTCACTTGAGCTTTCAGCTCAGGTGAGCTAAAAATGAATGGTAAAGGTTGATTACTGTACACAGACATATAGAAAAGGTAGAAAAAAAGAGTCAAAAAGGACACAATGTTTAAGACTTGAATCCTCTCAACAATCTTAAAAGATCATTGGAATATCTAACATTTGGCTTAAGTTGATCAAAAGTCAATGAGACGTAATCATTAGATGTTTCAACTATCATAGCATAGCAAAGGTCAAGGCCACATACCTCATGAGCCTCTAGTTTGAAGTAGTTGCCTTGATTAAAAAATCGATTAGCAATCAAAAAATGTGTGTCATTCAACCAAGCACCCCTGAAGTTTGGGAACTCTCCTTTAACTGCATACAGCAGACTAAGATCTGAAATGAAGATTTGTAGTCATAATAATCAATTCATATATGTTCACACAGTCAAAATCTCAATCAGAATATTCATATTAAAACAACTGATAAGTTTTCATTGAGTAACAATATTCAGAGCAAGACTGCATTGTTAGAAACTAAACATCGGCATACCAGGGACGGAGACAACAGCAGCAAAAATGCTTCCCTCAAGGTCAAAGATATGTGTCAGTCCCGTGATCAATAACATTGTCTCGGACTCGTTAAACTCACAAAATCGAGTTTTAGGTGGAGGGTTGAAGAATGGGCCAACTGTATTTTGTAAGGTTACTTTACTGCCATAATTCCATAACTAAAATAAAAAAGAAAATGTAATATAATTGTAAAGATATGAGGTAATTGTAATCATTAATCACTGTTACAGTAATTAATAATGTGCAACATAATTAGTTAAAACTAGATACTCCAAGTTCACTTGCTTCTAAGACATACAATGAAACACTAGAAGCATCATCCATGCATCTCTGATTAATACAGGGCATAGAGACACTGATATTGAGGCCTTAGAGTTTTACATTCATCAAGGTAAGGTAAAAGCGATGTCAAGTCAAAATAAAAAAATATTGATGCAGTTGAATACCTGTTATCAATATTTACCAGCTTATGAAGTTTAATAAAAACAAGAATTCTGAGAGTATGTCAAAAGCAATACAATCCCCTACCGGGATACCCTTTTCACTTTAGGATACAAACTCGTTTGGTACATTAATTTAGTGCATCACGAACCCAATCATAATCGCAATCCCCTTCCTCCCGGTCAAAAATCAATGACATGGAAGTTCTAAAACTATAGTTTAACAAGAGGCCTATATGGGCCTTATAGGTCACCTGAGCATCATGCAACAACTTTCCAGTGATTGAATTTGGTTCATATTTTAAGCCAGATACTATGGCATTCACAATCTTATATTTTATAATTGTTATATACTTAACAATTGCTTAGTTTGGTTACTTAATACCCATACGCAAGGCAGGGGAACAAAAAATGCATTTCAACTAATCAGTAATATTCAGCAATAATCAGTAGTGCCCCTACCACACATGAACCCCTGACCCTAGGTCCACACATTGCACAATTTTTGAAAAGGCACCCTTGCTTTTCAGAAATATTTGATTAATACCAAGGAACAGATTTCAAACAATTAATTCATTTTCAGTACATAAGTAAAGCCCCCCCCCCCCCTTTTATGGTACCTCGGACCATGGGGCTTTGAAATTCACAATTCTGGAAGAAGGGCTCTTGCTCATCATAACTATATAAGTAGTTCATCTGCTTAATACCCAGGAGCAGAGAAATTTTCAAAGAATTCATGTAATTTGACTATATAATCAATAGAACCCCACCCTAACACCAGAACCCCTGACCCTTGGGCCATAAAATTCACAATTTTGGAAGAGGCATTCTTCCTCATCATAACTATGTACTTAATTAGTTTATTTAATATCCAGGAACAGAGAAAACGATTTTCAAAGATGTAATCTATTTTCACTATATAATCAATAGAGCCCCACTCTAAAGCCAAAACCTCTGAACCTGGGGCCATATTCACAATTATGAAAAAGCCATTCTTGCTCATCAAAATTATGTACTTAGTTTGTTTAATACCCAGGAGCAGAGAAGATTTTTAAAGAAATAATGTATTTTCACTATATAATCAATAAACATCCACCCTAACACCAGAACCCCTGACCCTGGGGCCATAAAATTCACAATTTTGGTAGAGGCACTTTCGCTCATCATAACTATGTACATGTATTTAGTTAGTTTATTTATTACCCTGGAGCAGAGAAGATTTTCAAAGAAATATAGCATTTACACTATATACTCGTTTTAGCCCCGCCCTAGCACTAGAACCCCTGACCCCAGGGCCATGAATTTCACAATTTCGGTAGAGGACTCAATGCTAATTACAGTCATATCAACAGTTTGACTGCCTGATGTCTCGGAGTGAAGAAGAAGATTTTTAAAGATTGCACTAATTTTAGTGGTTTTGGTCCCACCCCTCAGGCCCCAGTGAAATTCATAATTTCTGTTCCCCTTCACCCATAGATGCTTTGTGCCAAATTTGGTTGAAATTGGTTCCGTGGTTGCAGAGAAGAAGCTGAAAATGTTCAAATGCACAGGCAAAGTCCATGTTTTGCACTTTAAAATCCAAATTGAGAGTCGGATCAAAAAGTTAAATAGGAGGTGCACAATACCACTACAGTACCGACCGAACACAACCTAACAGAAAGCGAACCCGGAGCGGATCCCGGGTTCGCTCTCTGGGTCCGCTCCGGGTTCGCTCTAGCGGACCCCGAGCGAACCCGGAGCGGACCCAAAGCGAACCCGTAGCGGACCCCGAGCGAACCCCAAATTCAGTAGCGGTCCCAGAGAGCGAACGCGGGTTCGGTATTTCTTTACAGAGCTGTCAATCAGGATTAGCGATTAACCAATCAGCGCATCAACCAATCAAAATAGCGTATTGATCTGTCGATTGGGATATAAGATCGAACGTGTTGATCTAATTCGATATAAATCCAAACACTGTGCATACGGGCAAAACGTGTGAATGTGCTGTGTAAATCTATTATGATAATTGAAATATTATTTAATATTTATTTATTTTAATTCTCCGGGTTGTATTTTATATGTTTTAATTTTCCAGTATATACATTATTATAATTATACATGAATATTTACGTATGTTTTTTATTTTCTTTAGTTTTTTTACCAGTATTTAAAGTCCATTGGTAAATAAATTGGGTAAATACATCAGTCAATGCATAAAAATGGAATTCAATTGATATTACAATTTTTACTGACAAAAAAAAAAAAGGAGAAAAGAAACGTAGTTGGTCTTCGACAATGTATTGTAAAATTTCATCATCTCAAGATACTAACAGTTCAGGAATATTAACGTGCCCAATATTTAAATGTAAATCGATACAGGAGATGAGAGAGAGAGAGAGAGAGAGAAAGAGAGAATAACTGTAAACTCTCATCATTAGACTTGATTTTAATAATAAAGCCTGATGACTTTTATTTAAATTTCTATGAGTCGTCCTCCCAATACTGTACTCAAATTGTTTTCTATAAGCTGCTGCAGCTATTTTTTTTCAAAAAATATACATGTACAGGAAGATGTATATAAAGAACTAAAAATGACCAACAGTTTTCGGGACGCTCTGACCCTTCCTCAGTACAAAGAAAAAGGTTAAAAAGTCATAAGAACAAAGGAAAAAGAGAAACCAAAAACAACTAGCAAAACTACTAAACACTATATATTTACATAGTAACATGTCGAATTGGAATTTATATAAACACTATTAAAGAAAGAAATCCGGACCGCTACGTCTGGTTTATCGGGGTATACTCAGGTGAAGTGCGATTTACATAATTGAACGAATTAATTACGCAAATTATTCACGACATTTAGTAAATCGTACATTGTTTCATTCTCTCAAAATGGCGTAACTATACTTGACAAAGAATAATCAGTCTGGAGAAATATAATATAGACATATGAATTATGATCTATTGTAAATTTTGAAATGTTTGAGGACTAATTATTGGGAAAAAATAATTAATAAAGGCGTAAGCAATACATAGTTATGTGGGTTGTTTGAGAGTTGGTAACGCAAACTAACTGTAGAGTTTAGGGTGGAATGACATCAATCCGTGCATCCAGAAGGAAGATTTTCATATACACGCATTTTTTCATGCCCAAGAAGATCAATAATTTTGATGTAATTTTTGAATAATTTAATGTAACACGTAAATTGAGAAATCATAAATAAAATAATTTCGATTTTTAAAGACAATGTGTATGTGAAATAGGGGGCATATATTAATATACTCTTATCGGGTCGGGAGAACAATCATTATTTGCCTTTTTCTTTATTCTGATAAAAATCCTACTCGCTCCAAAATTCTGACCGTGAAAAAGATCTAATATACAGTGTATTTTTTTTTTTTTTTAGAAAATGTCCGGTAAATATTTATTACGAACTTTTAATGTGTAACTACTATTAATGAAATCTAAATATATCAGATGTACAAAAGGTTACATGTAATTTATAGATGCGATATCATAATTCACGTGTTAAGCAAACATTTAAACTAAGATTTAGCAAAACGTAAGGAATAACAAATTAATGTATTTTTAAACTATATAAAGCATGACTTTAAAAGGTATTTAGTTTACATTTCTTTCGACCGTTTCACTTGTACGCCATTCGATACACTGAAAATTAATTCAACACTCTTTTCTTCCTCTTCTTTTTTGTTTTGTCGTTAAAACTTAAGAAAAATAAATGCCTTATAATCCGCTGTTAAATTAGTTTGAATTTCTCGGGATCGAGAAATTAAGGAAATCAATTATTCATGTACATGTAAATCTACGTCGAATGATGTACAGTTGAATTTTAGAAAATTTATCAATGTTCTCCATTATATCACTGTTTACATGTACAGTGTACATGTCCGCATCGTCGCATAAACAACAATGATCGATCCACAATACCATTACTGTATTGGAATATACAAGGGGCAGGGCTTATTGGCGGTGAGATTAAAGCAGGGTCCGCTTCACGCATCAGTGCTTAAAGCGGTCCCAGGAAGCGAACGCCGGGTTCGCTCTAGCGGACCCAGAGCTGACCCCGAGCGAACGCGGAGCGAACCCGGAGCGCACCCAAAGCGCACCCGGAGCGGTCCCAAAATTTCTGAAAGCGAACCCGAAGCGGACCCCGAGCGAACCCGGGGTCCGCTCCGGGTTCGCTCTGGTGTTAGGTTGTGTCCAGTCGGTACTGTATGTAATAAAGAATCTGTGAAAGTATCATTAAATTTTACTCAGTGGTATAGGAGGAGCTGTAGATAAGAAATGGATTCCCTTCAATATTATAGAAAGAATTGTAGTGTCCATGTTTAGTTCTAGGAAACCCGTAATATGTGTCCAATCAAAAAGTAAAATAGGAGGTCACAATGGCACTGGTCTCATTAAATTTCATTCAGTTGTATAGCATGGGTTGCAGATAAGAGATGGGGACCCCAAAGCATAATGGACGAACATACCGACAGACAGACAGACATAAAGTCAGACGGACATCCAGATCACTATATACCCTCCCATTTTTCAAGCATGGGTATAATAAGGCTGAGTAATTCAGAAGTAAACTTTAGCAAAGTTTACTTAAAATTAAAGCAATATAATGCATATATTCTTCTTAAGTAGTAGATAAGAAAAACAGGAAAAAAGAACAGGATGAAACCTAGTGGTAAAGGAGATACCAGGAAAACAACAGGAAGAAATG